GTCGGCCTGACCGTAGCAGTGCCGCGATCCGTCCATTCATTCAACCATATCATCATTTTCCCGCGGCCATCAATCTCCTTTTCCCGCCGCCAATAATATTGGCGGGCTTCATCGCGCCCGCACCCCTGCTCTCCTACCCTTCGCTCGTTCGCAATGTCATCCACCATCTCGCAACCACGAAGCAACCCTCAATCTTTCCCTTCTACGACGTCTTGCCCGCCATCACCAATCCGTTTGTCGTTTCTGCTAAAAAGATCGGACATCGAACCTCGATCCCTTGCAAAAAAAAAAATAGCCGCGCTTGTCGTTTTCCCTTAAAAAAGATCGGACACTGAATCTCGTTTCCCGCCAAAATATCCGTCACAGACTTCCAATCCGTTTGTCGTTTCTGCTAAAAAGATCGTTTCCCGCCAATATCCATCACAGACTCCGATCCGTTTGTCGTTTCTGCTAAAAGGATCGCACACTGAACCCCGTACCCCGCCAATAGCGGTCACAAACTACCGACCCGTTCGCGCCCAATTTCCACACGTTTACACGACGTACGATGCCCATCGTTTCCACAGCGAGGCCGTCCGTCACCGCCGACGATACCGGTGTCTTTCCACTCTACTTTCGTTTCTTTCTCCTCCTCCTCATCAGTCAGTAATAACCCCCGCTGTCATTTTCCCTGTTCTCTTCCCTTCTCTTCTCTTCTCTGCTCTTCTCTTCTCTTCTCTTCTCCAAAAGCGCTCATCGTCGTCGCCACCATCGCCCAAATCTTCGGCACCATCGCTAACGCCCAAACGTGGTTTTCTCAATAGCCTTCGGTGACTTGCCACCGTCATCGGCGAAGAGATCGGCGACGATTCCAAATTGGCTTGCGACATCATCGAGGATTAAATTACTGTGTTACGATTACGATTACGAATGCCGTTCGTTTTGAGGGTCCCTTATCAATCAATTCATTTGCTAAAAATTATCTATTTGTTATCTGATGGGTTAATCAGTATGACGGCAGGTGTCAGCTTGAGCTCCGGGACTGAAGAGACCACCTGCTTCTCCACATTACGCAGCTCTTCCTCCAGCTTCTCTTTGCGAGCAAGATGGCTGGCCAACGCGGAGGAGGTGCTGGGGCTGGCACGGACGGAAGACATCACCACCATACAATATACAATACACTACCCCGCCACGCATAAAAACACACTCCCTCCCTGAGGAATGCTCTCTCTCTCTACACAACGCGGCGAAAATCATCCACGGCAGCACTTGGATGGATCTTTGGCGGGTAATGAGTCGTAATCGGAGGTAATCAGCAGGTGGGCATGTTCGCGATTCTTCCATCTGCGTTGCGCGGGCAGCATTCTTCTTTTTCTTTTCTTTTTTTTTTACCGCGGGCAGCATTCGGCACCAGTAAATTGAATTCATTTGCTAAGGGACCCTTTCTTTCCTTCCTTGGTCCGTTTGTTGCCTTTCCTTTTGGATTGTTTGGCTTTGCAGGTCTGAGACCTACTTTTTGGGTGGTGGCAGAGTTTTCAGGACAGCGGCGTAGGTTTGGCCTTCTCTGTTCTTAGAGTTTACTCGGCCTTAGGGCCTCGCCACACCACTCTTGAAACGGGGAAATTTTTCAAGAGCTGTCAGACGTCCTCAAGAGTTGGGTTTTCAAGAGTTTCTGGCCCCTAGCCACACAGCACTCTCGAAAGGGCGATGGATTTAAAATTATTATTAAAAAAAACAGAAAGGGCCACGTGTTGGACAAAGGATGAAAAATTTCCGAATGATCTCCTGCAAGCCTCACATGCATGGGATGATCCGCCATTTGTCACCAAACTGTGAACAGCCTGGTGAAATCTACTGTTTAAATGGAGGAAGACAGTCATGGTACCCGGCCCACCTCCCAAGCAGGGAGCCGCACACCGGATCGTACACAGCATCACGACCAGATAGGCTGCTACCCCTCCTCCCCTACCCACGCACAACCGGAACCACAAGCCGCCCCCCCACCACCACACGTACCTTCACCGTTGAGAAAGATCCCGTTGTGGGTGAAGAAATTGGAACATGCAGATATCCACATTCGCTCACTAAATGTCAATGGCCTGATAACGCCAAATCCACAAAAGAGAGAGGCTATCTGGAACGAGATCAGGCACCAGGGCACCACTAACTGGCCTGATGCAATATGTATACAGGAAACCCATTTGTCGCACACCCTGTCTCATGAGGCTAAGCGACGAATGATCTGGCCCTACACATCCTTCTCTGCCCCCTCGATAGATCGAGCTTTGGTGGGAGTGGCAATCTGGCTCCCTCCATCTTCTCGACTAAAGCCCATTGATTCCAACTACGACCGGCTGGAGGGCAGATGGGGTTACCTAAGAGCTGAAATAGGGGGCGAAACTGTATGCATTGTAAGTGTGTATGGACCAAATGACCCGACTGAAAGGGTCCGCTTCCTACAAGACCTGTACTTGGCACTGCCCAAGGACTGTCCGCTTATAGCAGCAGGAGATTTCAACATTACATCGGACCCGGGGATGAACAGACGCTCTACCACCCAACCTACGGGGGGAGACACAACACCGAACATCGCCATGCTGACACAATTCATGGAAGAGAAACAAACATGTGATGTATACAGGGCCCTCCACCCCTCGAAGAAGGCTTACACCTATCTCCAGTCCAAAGGGGCAGCGGTGTCAAGCGCATCGGTCTGGCATCGCACCAGGGCAGCGCGGGACCCTCCCGGCCGCGTCACGCAGGAGTCAGTTTAAATCCTTTGTCGCAGATAATACATGTGGAGCTTCCTTAAGCCGCTCCGACCGAGTGCGCCAGCCATACCTCTCGCGAACCCCTACAGCAGGATAGGGCCTACGCGAGGCACGACTTACCTACACCTTACGGGAGCTGTCACCTCCCTTCGGTGGGCGTATCCCCGCCGAGCTACCAGTTCACAGTACGAAAGTTAATCAGTTGCAATCGCAGAGGTGGACCAACCGAGGGCGTTTCTCGTTCGTTGTAGCATAGGGGGTACGCGCGGTAATACGCCTCTATCGGACCCGCACGCGAACTGGCATCATGGGGGACTGAAGTCCCAAGCGCGGCCCGTCGTCGGGCGGCTAGGACGCATCCCACACACCACGCGCACACCGCATTACGACACAAAATTATAAAACACACACACGCACACACACGAAACGACACGACCCAAATAACGCGACAACCCTCCTAGCCCCTCGGTAGCCAACCCATAACTCTCTGATGCGGAAATCGGATGAGCGTCGCGCGTGAGACTTAAAATAGAACTGCGCGGACGCAGGGCTGACTCATATCGACCCGCAATGCAAGCGTATGCAAGCGGTCGCAGTGATGCCGTACTATGTAGTACCCATACTCACACGGTCCTCGTTAATCTCGAGGGCCGCATTCGACACTCAAGTGTCGGCTGACACGCGCCTTGAGGGTTAATCTCTCGACGCTGGACAACTGCCATGTGCGGTTGAAGACCACACACCCTCTTCTGCACCTTATGCAAAGCGGGTGGAACACAGGTCCACACCTGTGGTGGTAGTCGTCCCTCGCGGCCCTGGGGGTAAGTCCTCCCTGGGCCTAGGCGAAAGTCAAGGGGTTTGACTTTGACGGCTGCCACGGACTACAACGTCCAACCATAAAAATCTCTAAAAAGCAAAGAATAAGGAATAGGCCGACGGTTCCCCCGCCTAATAAAAATCATAACCCTGGGGAGCCCTCCCCTTTTTCGCATGGTGTCGGCGGCCTATAGTAATCCCAAACATTCGTCCATATGTGCCGGTCCCTTTTTGATCCCATAACTTTTACACACTAGGACGGCAAAACGTCGCGCGCGGAATTCTAATATAAAGCCGCGCAGCCGCGGGCCGATCTCATACCAACCAACAATGTCAACCTTACGTCGTAATTGCAGCTCCGGCCTCGCGATATTGAATGGTTGAAGGAATATATCGTGAGGGGTTACTCTACACGATATTGAACGGCTGAAGGACATGCTGTTCGGCCCTCGCGACATTTCCGCCTTCAAGGTGGGGTGCCTCGATAGGCAAAGCGAATAGGTTCTGCGCGAGGGAAAATCCCTCCCCGGCAGAGCCTAGGGCTTGGGATGTCTTGGACAAGGACCTTGAATCCCGACCCAGGACCAACGTCCGACTAAAGGAATCCTCAAGAAACAAAGCAAAATACCAGGAAGGGTCTTCCCTATGCCTCTCAGTTCTAACCCCTGAGTAGACTCTTAGTATGGGGCCCCTTGCTCATGCAGACATTCACCCCAAATACACCCATATATATAAGGCGGCAAGTATGGACGATCACTTTTCACAGTCTCATTGGGGTCCCTCACAACCATACGTATATATGTGATCGCAGACAACCAAATTCAGAATCTGATTCACAACACATACCTGCAATCACATCAGCGAGTCAAATCAACAGCCCACGCACTACACGGAGTCAGCCCCAACCATCTTCAACACTCATACCCCTCGCTTTAGCCATGCAAGCCCGAACCTCCTGTCCAACCAACCTCAATTAAGTACTCAGTACCTTGTTAAATGGCCACTCAATAAAAGTCCGGGTGAAACCATAATGAAACAATAAAAATCACCAGGGCTAAAGCCTTTTAGGTCGAGTGTGGAGGGCGAGTTGGAATTGAGTCATAAACCGACGAATCGACAACCTACCCGTTATCAGTGATAACAAATGATGACCCTCAAGGGATCAACCTGAATCTGGTCCGGATCTTGAATCAATCGATCAAGAGGGTCTGTAACACATGACAGGTCAATGCCCCAGGCTAAACCTATAAGTTCATGGAAAACAATCCCCATATCGTGATCTTACCCAAATCATCCTAATTAACTATGTCTAAGCCTATCTTTAAGCAATATGGTAAAATTTTCCCTTAGTCAAAGTGGACTTATCTAATCTCCACCTGTCAAAACATAATCGATCTCTTTTAAACTAAGAAAAATTCGGCATCGCTTCCCACAGGAAAAATATTTTTCCAGAATTTATATAAGTCTGGATATGAAAGCAGAAATAATTTATAACTCCGGAAAGTCAAAATTATGTCTAACTTCCTGAAATAGCAGAAATTTTGGCAGCACTCCCTTTAGAAAGGGAGACTTCCCAGATTTATACTAATTCAGATATGGAAGCAGAAATAATTACTACGTCTGGAAAGTCAAAATTTATGTCTAACTTCATGAAATAGCAAAAATTTGGGTAGCACTCCCTTTAGAAAGGGAGACTTCCCCGATTTATACTAAGTCAGATATGAACTCGAACGACAGCTCGAGCTCAACTTTTAGACAAAATTTAACTAACTCCTTAATTTTGTAGAAATTTCGGCAACACTCCCTCTAGAAAAGTGTTATTCCAAAATTTATACAAGGCTAAGTCCAGAATTTGAAAGTGACTTTGACTTCCCAAAGTTCAATTTTGTCTAACTCCCTGAACTAGCAAAAATTTAGGCAGCACTCCCTTTAGAAAATGAGACTTCCCATATTTTAACTAAGTCAGATAGGAGAAAAGACAAAGCTAAACTTTTGACAAGTCAAAATTCAACTAACTCCTTGGATTTGTAGAAATTTTGGCAGTGCTTCCCGTGGAAAAAGTAGCTTGCCAAGATTTATACAAAGCCAAGTATAAGAAAAGATCTCAGAAAATGCAGGAATTGACCTAAGTAAAAAAAAAGATACTACAGAAAATGCAGGAGTTGACACTAACTCCTATAACTCCAGCACATGGCGAGCAACTAAAGCAACTACCTATCAACCTCAAACTCCGACTAAGTATTGGCCTCACTCAGTCACATGCAAGCCAAACCACAAAGGTAATTACTCTCACCAGCCCGAAGTTCATTCCAGATAGATAGTTTATGAATCTTTTAAGTCTTTGAACCCTTATTTCTCTCTTACATAAGACAACGAGCTGGACCATTCGCCATGGAAACAATGTCCAACTTGCCTTTAAGATATACACGAACAAGTTGCACAACGACTTCTCTCGTCTTTTGGGCATATGACTAGGCCATTCGCCATGGAAACAATGCCTAGCTTCCCTTAGCCGTTTAATATCCAAAATTTAGTATTTCTCTAACTTTGTTTTAAAAAAAGAGAAAGCAAATATGGGCAGGGGACTGAACCATTCGCCATGGAAACAATGTTCAACTTGCCCAGATTATTTCCATTTGTACTTCGTATTTTTCCCTTTCTCTTCTTGATGATATGGCTTAATACTGGACCATTCACCATGGAAACAATGTCCAACTGTCAGTTCACATGCAAATATATATAAAGTATTTTTTCTTTATACTCAGTTTAACTTATGTGCGTGGTTTTCATGCTAAATCATTCAC